TCAAGGATAAAGTGTATTTTTAATCATATTTCATTAAAAATATTTTTTTAGTTATAAAATATTTATTAGGGCCCATGTATCATATTTTATTAAGAATCATTTTTTAGTTATAAAATATTTATTAAAGTGCATGTATGTAATGAATAAACATATTTCTAAAACCATTACGTAATTACCTACAACCCCGATTTCTTCACCAGTAGGCAGGAAGTCCTGGGTTCGGTTACCAGTCAAGTTGATTAGAAAATGAACTGTTCCAGATAATATTCGGGTCTGAGTGTTATGGAACCTAACTCGTTTTCATAGTCAAGTATGTGATGCTGTCTTATATTTATTTATTGTTGGTGAAGCAATGAAAGATAATATTAAGCCTAAGTAGCGTATATTATAGCCTGAGTTACCCGCGTATATAGTAGAAGTAATGTGAACGAGTAATAAAATCTTTTTTCCATAAAATAAATTTAGTGTAGATATAATGTTTTCTTTATGTTTTCTTTTAATTAATTTGTATGTTCAGAATATATTTGATATTAACATGAATTGAATATATAAGTAATTTGCGGTAGAATGTATTTTTATCGAAAGATGTAAACCTTATTCTTAATACAAAATGCTTAAAAAATCCACCTGGTCCCTGGCATCCTGAGATGGGAATCATTTAAAACATTTTATATTAAAAATAATTTTAAATATGCAATGTGAATGCACAATTATTTAACCAAAGTAAAATAATTAGATGTAAATCTTTGTGGCAGACATATCTTTAACAAACCTATTCAGAAACGTTCGATATATAGAAATAGGTATAAAATAAAATAAAAAATAGAGCCGACTTCAAACTTAAATAAATAATACTTATCTCAAAAGCGACTTATTGAAGAATATGCTATTAAAGTCGGCTGGAGGTCTTCTGTAGGTTTATTAATTTAATGATAGGCACCCGATTTCAATGGCCTTTTCTTGAATAAATCGATCGCTTTATTTATCTATAATTTGGATATCAATTCATATCAAGACATAATAATACGGATATAATTATAATGACAAATTCAATGGTAAACAGTGGTTATTACGGTAACATTTTCATACAAACTTCCACTCTCATTTTCATTCCTTTGTTTGCTGTTTTTCGGCATAAAATATAGGCTATGTTCACTAGATCCCGTAGATGAAAGAATTTTTAAAATCGGTTCGTCGCAAACAAACAAACAATCAAATCTTTGCTCTTTTATAATATTAGTAAAGAAATAGATCTATATAAATAAAAATACTCAACATAGTGAAAGTTTTTGAAAAAAAGATTTAGTTTATTTGCTCGACGTACTTTTTTCTAATAAAATTCTATACTCATATTATAAGAGGAAAGATTTGATTGCATGTTTGTTTGCATTGGATAGACTCCGAAACTGTTGGACCGATTTATAAAAATCTTTCATCTACGCGATAAAGTCGCGAGGAAACAACTAGTTAGATAGGAATTGGTTCACAGTTCAAGAAGAAATCGATCGACATACTTACTTTGAATTTGGAATGAATTCTTTTGTTTTTTAGCTGAGAAAAATGAAATACAATATATATATTCTCAATATTTATTCAGGTGCATATATGCTGAAAAGCGTATTTTGTTTTGTTTTAAAAGTAAAAGTGCAGATTAATTTTCGATTAAATTAAAATGGAACCACCTCGGCCCATGATGCTGTCGAATAATATATATAATGGCGGGTAGTCCGAAGGGGCTATTGCGAAGCCCAAATAGATGGTCCATATCGGAGGACTATCTTTAAAATAACACTGCAGGCGTGGTATACCAACGTGGATTTGTTCCATTTATCACTTTTCATACGAAAATATAACGAGATGAGCGTGATGTCTTCGGATGTCTTTACTTCTCGGCGATCGGAAACAGAATGTGTGCCAAAATGGCGGCAATTTGGTTTTTATTAACGAACTGTCAAAGTCAGTGTCACCATTCTAATAAAATTAAGAGTATAGATGATCACGCTCTCTTTACAATCGAGTAATTAAGTAATCGAGTAACTAGCAATTAAAATAAAAGAAACTAAATCAAACGATCTTCGTAATGATGATGCGACATATATATTTTTTTATTTGAATTTATTCTTTTAATAATAATAATAAATATTTTTTCAATGCAGTTGCTCATAAAGCGCTATTTTTTTAATCCACTGTAAACACCGAAAGTGAGTCTTTAAACACGTGTTAAATAAAAATGTACTGAAATCCTTTACTGCACACGTGCTTAAAAGTATTTTTTTTTGGCCGAGCACCAAAGAAATTTAAAAAAAATTGATGAAAATATGTCAAACTTTAGAGGCAAAAGTATTTCAAGGAGCCTAGAATGAATATTTTCAAATAAAAATGTATGACACGAAAACATGTTCAAATATCACGTTTAATTTTAACAAATAATTTTTACCTTTAATACATACTTAGTTTTATTAACCTATATATTTGTTTTATTTCCTCGCAAAAAGCATTGGAAAATGTTGTTAGAAACTTGAGCGTAAAAGGTTTTTAATTTAGCCCTTATTCGCAAAACCTTACTTTCCGCACTCGTATCTTAAATAACTATTTAGCACTATAGAAACAGAGACATATAGACAAAATTTCTTACACAAACATAATACATATAGGCGGCCTTATTACTTGATAGCGATTTCAGCCAGGCGATAGTGCAAACGAAACACAAAGTAATTAAGCAAATAAATAAAAGAAAATGGTGCATATGTTGGAAGACAAAACTAATAGATATACAAAAATTGAAGGCATACTAGCGACAAACAAAGTGCGACAAGTGGGGGAGAAAAGAAAAAGAAAGAAAGAAGAAAGAGAGAGAGAAAAGAAATTCAGTTTAATCTTCAGATATTGCGATAGCGATTTGAAAAAAATCTTAGGACTGGATTAACTCAAGTAAGAAGTTCCAAAGTTTCGTGGCCTGTAATGTAAATGAATTGCAATAGAATTTAGTCAGATTAGTATGTAGGTATACAAGCGATAATTATTAGAGGAGTGAAAAACGAGATCAATTGACGGAAATATCGGTGATATACTTGAAAAAAAGACATACATCTCCGACAAACATAAAACCTCCTCCTTCTGGATTTTGATCTCGAATATCAATTATGTTACTATATAACAGTAACATAATTGATATTCAGTTTTTACAATATTATTTTTGAATAGGTCAGCAATTGTAAAATATACATATTCATCTCCACGATATTGTATACATTTTAGTAATCTAAAATGTATAAAATGTATACGTAATTGTAACTTAATAGTTACAATTATTATTTCATAAATATGAATAACATTCACTGCGACGTAAATTATTATCATTCTTATAAAAAAATATCAAACTTTGCAATCGATTTTATTTAGTAGATATGTAATTTTATGATTAACAGCGCCACCTGTGCTATTTCCAGGTAATCACATTCCCTAAACATCTAAAAGCATATCACTCATTAGCAGCAGTGAGATGTAGTAAACAAGCAACTCGACTCAAAACTTACAACTTTCTTCTTCGTTTTCAAAATGAGGAAATATTTAAAAGAAAAACATTAATTCCCGAAATCAAACTAGATGTCGCTACGGTACGTTCTTGATTTCTCCATGACAACCCTTCCGGTTTTCTTTCTTGTTTAAAAGTAAATTAGTTTTCAAAACTCAATAAACAACTCATATTCTATCTGTACTTTATCATATTTGTGTTGATATCTAAGTTTCGAACTTTTCAAATTTCAGTTTTTTAATATTTTTTAATATGTTAGTTAAAAAGAACGGAAATGACTGTCTGTGGTCCATTCGTTTCCTGCAAAAATCAACTTTTGCTAGAGTCGCCATCTAGTGGAGGTGCTTTCGTTTTTTTTATATACTTCCTCATTAAAAATGGCGCCACTGTTTGTTCGTTAAAACTTGAACGTTACATAAAAGAAAATTTTTAACACGTTGTGAAAATCGTAGCATTTTAAATGGTTTGCAATTATAACTTCTCTGATTGAACGCTATTAAAAAAAGAAATAACAAACTCCTCTCTAAAATATGGAACCCTTTTAACTGATGAACTTTCAATTAAATTATGTGAATACAATTGAAAGTTTAGAGGTTTCACTGAATTAGGTATTATCCCAAACACAATGTCAACTAACTTTACTAATGATGTTAAAACTTTGAAAAACGTAATTATGAATCTTTCTAACAGACAACAAATATTTATCTTGTAAAATATTTCAAAGATTCAATGTTCGTGCTCAAGGCGGGATTCAAACCCGTTAGTTTCCTCTAATCGGACAATTTCATAATAATAATATATATTTGACCATAAATTATTGAAGTTACATACAATGATTATCAAAAATATTTATATAGTAATTATTTAAAATATACCTTGCTCTTAGGTAACCTCCATCACCGAACCTGGTGGACCTGAAACATCGGTAAATGGCGCCTCTAACCTCGGACATTAATCAATGTATTACATTACATATTTGTTTTATTTAAATATTGCATTTTAGCAACAATAAACTTCAGTGTAACAAACCAATATTTTTAAGCAATATTGAAAATAAATCATACTAAAATATAGACAAGAAAAGAAGTCCTCTCTGTGTGTAATGTTAGAAATGCATGTATGAGTGTCGAGAGGGTGTATTGTTAAGTTATATTATAATTATTATAATTGGTAACATATTAAATTGTGTAGATAAATAATTTATATCTTTAACGATGGTCGAGGAGAATGTAGACATTCGCAATGATACCTAATCTCAGAAATTTGAACAAAATCCAAGATTATATAATTACATATCACCCAATTGTTTTAATTACTAATTATGATTTATAAGATCATTACTAATATATTCAATTTGCCTAAAATATATTCTTAATAATAATTCTAAATATTATTGTTCTCTGACATAAAATTAAAACTACTTATCTAAACTATGTCTGAAAATAATAACTATACTAAATATAAAATGTCTCCCAGATTATTGCCTACAGGTAAGGTACTATTTATTTACTAATTCAGTATCCTCGTATGTTTGTTTCAACAACCAATTTGTAACTTTAATTTTGTTAAAGCGAGAGATGGCTATATGTTAGATGATCAAATCCTATCTCGGGCATGTAATATACCCATATTGTAAAATAAAATCGCATCCCGCTCTCTGTACGCTGAAATCTTTTAATCTACACGACATATTTTACTAAGGTTTACAATCAGATACTCGCGCGGGCGAACACGCTGGCGGAAAGCTAGTTAGATAACGAAATATTTCATTTTATGAATGGGTTTATGATAAGCAATAATATTGCGATTATTTTCATTTACGCATTTAAGAATTTCAACGAATTAAAAAAAAAACAAATAAAATTCCGAGAATTGACCGTTTGACATTTAATTGATTCTACTAACTTATTAATCATAGTGATAATTATGTGTTTACAGACATCTGAACGAATACAAAACAGTCACTTGTTAAGGTTCTTACCCTCTGACATTATGATAAATGTAAATATTTATGCAGATGATAGCGAAAAATAATAACATACAGATATAAAATTAATCGTGGTCAGTTATTTCTGTTTACTTCTTGAGAGAATTTTCTGTTGGCTGGCGGGGTCAAAGAGAGAAAAATGTTCAAATTCTTTTTGTTATTTTGCTCGTTACTTGTTTTTGTAAGGGTTCGTTTTATTTTGATGAAATTTATTTTATTGAAGTGACGATTCTCTTGACTTATATAAATTTGTATTCACAGGCAAGTTATGGTGATCTTCTCACACAAGAAAGACAAAGAGGAGCGACATTGGTTTGTTAATTTGTTTTAATATTATTTTTAAATATTTGTTTAATAATAATATTAGTGGCAAGAAACAGATTATACTTTAAATGTAAAAACTCAGGATGATATTGTAGTGCTGGGATAACTAAATGAGATATATCTTGTATCATAGCATAAACAATTCCATAATATGATATCGTCAGCTTTATTCGATAATTCAATTCAATCCTTTTATTGCATTCCATTACTTCATAATGTATAACAAAGGTGTAGACCCCGTTGGACATGGTAATTACAATAAAAGTCTCCTTACAAACATACTTATAGCAAAAAAGATAATAATTTCATACCTTCCTAATGTTTTTATTATAATTTCCATCACGTTGTAAACTATATTTAATAAATTAGTCATTTTTAAAAATGTTAAATTATAGAATGGTTTTTTAGCATTTTTGTTTCTGTAATCAACTAGTGAGTCTTACTCACGCAATCTAGAATGGTTCCCTTTTTTTCCATTCAATCGATTCCCATCGCGATATTTTGATTCTTCATTGCTTGTATGGTTGTCATACTATTGTATTAGAAGAACTGTTTATGTTTTAGAAACCTATTTCAGCGTGTTGCGACATACCGGAGTTGGGGGATCCAAAACACTTAACAGAATGTTCCAAGCCGAAATTACTTGGACCCGTAAGTATATTTATATATAAGTATGTATTGCAGTTTATATTTTATTTGTTCATATACATACGTACAATCCGCTCTTTCTCTACACAATGTTCATTGCGTTCCTCTACCAATCTCACTCTTGAGATTCTTCGCCACTCTACAGACTTTGTTTCCTACTCCTTCTCTGTGCATGCTGTGCGGCTTTGGAACTCACTCCCGGAATGTATTAGGAAAGCTCGTTCACTCGATACGTTTTGCGATCAAGTTAAGAGTCATTTCCTATCTATATCCTAAAACATTTTTACTTATTATATATATTTTAAACTGTTGTAGAACATTAATTTAAATCTGTCTTTTAATCATCTTAGTAACTATATGTTTGTCTAGAGTTATATCCGTTATTTATTTATTTATTTATCCTTCCTTATATTGCACCTACTACCCCCACACTATCCATTAAAACTTCTTTTTCTCTCCATTGGTTGCCTGGAAGAAATTGCTACACAGCAATAAGGCCGCCATTTGTGTTCTATTTCTTCTTAATGTAATTTTCCTGTAACCTGTGTTATATTGAGTGCAATAAAGTGTATTATTATTATTATTATAAATAATAGAGTATATAAATTTGGCCGAAATATTATCTTACATGCTATAACCTGTAACTATATAAAACTAGCTGTTTTCAGGCATAGGCTATGTCAACGTCGTATGATGTAGCTAACCGTAGGTAAAAGATTTTTTAACTAGTAGTTTCGGAGTTTTTTCGATGCCAACAAACAATCACATATTACCTTTTTATAATATTAGTATAGACAACATATAATTAGAATTTTGCGTACAATATCTTTTCAGTGCAATGATGTTCAATGTGTGTTCGAAAAGTCTGGTTTCCTAGTTGACAAGAACACTCTAAACAAGGACGTGTACAAGAGGCACCTCCGTAAATGGGCCGAAAGCCACGAAGGCTGGACTGATGCTGTGGAGAAAGCGATCACCGATTGCGTAGACAAAGAGCTCAGACAATATTTGGATTATCCTTGCAGGGCTTACGATGTATTCACGTGCACTGGTATTGCTATGCTGAAGGTAACAAAATATCCCTTCTTATATTGTCATTACTTCCTGATTAGGTAAATGTTTAAAAAAAATGTTAAATATACCAGATTTACCGGTTGTTATTGATAATTTACTGCAAGTTTTAAAATCACAAAAGTAATAAAACTATAAAAGAAAAGCATTAGGAGCCACCTGATTTGAAATTGAAAAAACAAAAAAAAAACTCTTTCTTGGCTCCTGCCAGTCGTTACTTGTAGTCGTTGAAATGGATTTAATGTTGATAAAGAAGGCAATATTTTATTCTATAACTCTTGTAACTTCTGAGTGCAACTTAAATAAACTTTTTACAGAGCCCTATGGGTGTTTTCATCTAAGCACCCACAGGGCTAGGGATAAGGGGTTAATTGAAAATAAGTTACAAAATAACAAAAGCGATGACCGGTTGTCATATACTAATTGAACTAAGATTACTGGTTGAATGGTAGAGAATTTTTTAATTTTAATTTAGATAAAATCACTCATTGGAGTTCACTTTTATGATCACTAATGCCTACGGAACGAAATGATAGTTTATCGATGCAACATCAAATTCAATGGAGATCGTTGATATAATGATATTTGAAAATTATATTATATGAAAATACGAATAAGTGATTTTGGCTCATTGGAGTTGTTCATTTTTTACTGTGATTACGGCTTTAGGTAGCCAATTGAGTTAGCGAATACGTCTGCAAATAACGTTTTATGATGTGTCTATGGCCTTTCAATAACATCTCTTTTTGACACAGTGCTTGTTATCATCAGCCCTTTTACGTCCCCACTGCAGGGGCTCAGGCCTTCCTTATGGATGGTTAATGAGGATGGGCCATGACCCTCCACGCTGGCCCAATTCAGATTGGAGGGTATTAACGACTGCAAATGCAGGCGGGACCAACGGCTCAACGTATCTTCCGAATCACGGAGTAGCTCGAAAAAAAATTTTTTTTTTGGTCGCCCATCCTGTGACCGACCACAGCGAAAGTTGCTTAACAACAACGATCGCGGGCCGCGGCGCTTATCCACTACGCCACCGAGCTACTCAGTGCTTGTTATTAAATCATAAAATTACAAACATATATGTATATAAATATTGTTATTTCCAGACGTTGTACTAAGAACATTGGACTGTTAAATACAATAGCAAAATACAATCAATGAGACACCATCACCATTGAGATGCTATTATTATGTTAACATTAGTCATATTTAAGGCTAGCAATGTGTTTGCATTTAAGGTGCAAGTAAAGCCTAAAGATTAGGTTGATAAAGATCAACGGCCCTACCACTTAATTTCTGGGTGAATTTTGATATCTGAAATCCAATGCACACAATGCTATTCTACTTATGATTAAATCAGCCTTAAGCACAGCATCACAGCATAGCGGTTCAATGAAATAAAGCCTACCTTAAGCAATAAGTAACGAAACGCACTTCTTCTTTTTATTATAATAAATGAATATGATTTTTTGTTTGTTTCAGAAATGTCCGACGAAAGCTTGGATATGTTAAGGGAAATATAAATTGTCACTATTTTGTTACTTTGTATAAATTTATTTTACTTAAAATCATTAACCATCTCAAAAAAACTTATGTTGGTAAGAAACTAATTTAAATAAAATTAAGTATTCAATTAATAAAGACATATAGATCTATTTTGACCTACTTTATTAAATGAAAGACATATTTTACTATTCAATTGATATATTTAAAAATCACCATGTCGATTCTCTATTGAAATCTAATATTTGACTTTACAAGAACGAACACTCGGAAGTATAGTGGCGCGAAACTGATCAAACGTCAAACTTAAAGTGACAGTGACAGCAAACTGACAGAGAGGGTTGCCCGTAGTGAAATCGACAATTAGTGCTGCCAGAAGTAGTCGATGATTTCCCCTCTAACAAAAACGGAGACAAAAACGCTTATGTCTGTCAATTATTTTTTAATTGCCAGTTTTAAGTAAATTATTCCCATTTCCCCATATATTTCTTGTAAATAAGATTAAAGAAATAAAGTCTTGTAAAAAGAAAGAAACTTCTGATCAATTATCAATATCAGCCTATTAATATCCACACTGCTGGGTCACAGACCATTTCCATAGGTGGGATCAATAAATATATATTTGACAACATCACATTCATTGCTCATATTCCAATATGAGCAAATAAAGCCCGCGTATTATGGAGTATTTGAGATAACGAAGGTTTTAGAACATCCAGATACGAGACAACATAGAAAAGGTCATTTAGTAAATTGACTCGACCGGGAATCAAGCCCGGGACCTCAGACATGGCGACACCTTGAAACCGACGTGCGAATAACTCGACTACGGAGGTCGTAGGCTATAAATAAATATCTTTAATAGCTTTCGCCTCTCAGGAATCATTCGTGAATCTCTTATCCCAAGAAATTGTTTGTACCCAAGTTTTATTACAATTGTCTAATTGGTTCCTGAAAGTAGTCATTAATTAATGATAAAAGAGTCATTATCACCAGCCCCTTTACGTTCCTACTGCAGGGCTCAGACCTTACTTATGGATAGTTAAGGAGGATTGGCTATGACCCTCCACGCTGGCCCAATACAGATTGGATATTACCGACTGCAAATACAACCGACATAGACGTCTTAACGTACCTTCCGAAACACGGAGTAGCTCGAGATAATAATATTTTGGTCACTCATCTCATCACCTTGCAGAAATTCCTTAAAGACAACAATTGCATGCCGCGGCGCTTATCCACTACACCACCAAGCTACTCCGCCGATAAGAGAGTTGAATAAGTTTAATTTATTTATTACTTACTCATATTCGGATTGATAGACAACAGAGACTATTCTTATTGTTGAAATTAATATTAACATAATAACTATAGATATCTTTGCATTAAACAGTAAATGAAGTAAAACACACACAAACTAATAACGCATTTGTATTTCGCTGGCATTTAATTGGATCCAATGTAAGCCTCCGCTTCATTGTGAGTTTAGGAACTTTAGGATAAATTATGAAAATGAAAAGAAAACATGAAATTGTGGCTGTGCTAAGCCAACTATGGGTTATATCACGCCGTGTCACTTGCAGGGTAGGCAGAGAGGACCGAACGCCACAAACATCTTTCGCCTCATCCATTTTCATTAATCTTTTCATATATACACGCCGGTTTTAGGGCTTCTGAAAGCACGTGATTGATTTGATCGTGAAAGGTTATTTTATTATAATTAGAATCGGATCGTATTAAAAGGGTCAACCCATGGTGAGGCACCTGGTCTGAAGACAACATTTCTTTGACGTGAACTTTTTTCAATAAATCGTATCCTAAGAAAAATAATTGTCAGAGCGCCTACTCTTTCTGTCCGTCCATGAACTCAAATTCATGGACAGACAAAATATTGTCTGTGCATCTGAGACAGTTTCAGGTCCTTTTCTCTGTTACATTATAAATTATAGAAAAGCTGTCATCATTTCAAAAATAGATTAAATTTCGATTTCGGAGTTTTTTTGCAGAAATATAGAATAATAAGCCTTTAATTCTGGTGTAGCACAACGAAATATATACAGGTCGAAAAGATCCTCCTTTTTGGAAGTCGGTCAAAATTTTTGAAGTCACATTGTAGCTTAATGATAACACAAACTATTTTAGAGTTATCCTAAGGATTTGTATGTAATTAGTTAAAAATATTTCCGCTCTCTAATTCATACAAGATGCCATACTCGGTCACTGACTATCTTATTATTAGATAGCTTTTCCAATTTTGTTTCATTACGTTACAAAAATCATGCTATATGGTTATTCATTTTCTAGCGATAGACTTACTCTATTTTATTTTATCCAAGATACTCTTTATAGATCGAGTGGCTCGCAGCATAAATTTCAAGCAATCGCTTTATCTGAGGGTTCGAATCAAAGACGGATAACTCTAAAAATAAAACTACTATAAGTTGTCTTGGGGTTGAGTGTGGTGTTACTTTCTTTATTTCGTATCCCTCTAAGACAAATGCTTTAGATACTTAATTTGGGATCCAAACAATATATGTGATGTTGTCTAATACCTAATTCAATCTCTTTGCATTTTATTTAGGGACTTGAGTTTGTTATCATTTGTGACACGCTCTTTTTTTATTAATTCTTTATCTACATAATTGTTACAAATTATAATATACATACACATCACACATAGACCGACATTTAATGTATTAAGGGTTTAATTTTCATTTAGCTTATGAAGTACAAGCCATAAAATCAGTCAAGCAGTTCTCGTCTAAAGTATTAAATATAAAATCTTTCATATTCGTAATATTAGTAAGGTTTAAATAGTATTATCTCTGTTACGCTAAGTATTTTTACAATGTTAAGTATTGCTTTGTCCAATAGTTCATTGTACGGTAATTAGCTGCTGCATTGCCCAAGGCCTGAGCCTCTTGACCCTGATTCGTGGACCGTGCCGCCTGCATAAACCTTGAGGACATCCGAGCCATTGTGGGTAATGCGAAATTAATTTGTGTACCTCTGAGTCAATACGTGAAATTAATTTACCAGCAATAACGGTTTATTGTTTGTATCAATTAATTAATGACAGAATTGGATTGCTTATTGTAAACGTGTCTCATTCAAGAGATTATTATTGTATTTACTGTGCACTAGATATTAAACCCGTATGTTTGGATAGTTTTCGGTAATTGTGCCACGATTGTGTGCACCGAGCAAATTATCAAGTTACCATCAAAACTGTAGGTGACAATTTTAAAGACATAGTATAGAGCTTTAATAAAATAAAACAAACCTTTACTAACTTTTGAAGTACGTTTTATTTAATTGAATCTCTATGCTATGCTTGACGTCGAGTTAAAACAATAATTCTTTTTGCAGAATAGAAAAAGAGATGTGAATATGACTAATAACTAATATTCTACAAATTTGAATTTCAATGGCAAATGCTAAAAAATCCACCCGTTCTAGGTATCCTAAGATGAGATTTTTAACCATTTTACATTGAAAAGACTTTTTTTTATAAACAAAAAGTGTTAATCGAATACCTATCCTCTAAAAATAACTGTTAAAAGAAGGACGTTCAATTCTGACCTGTCAACATCGAGATATGCAATCGTTGTGTATAGCGAAGTAAAATATCGCATAAAAAAGCTTTATTTTTGTTATTTATAATTAACTATCACAAAAAAAATATTAGTGAGTAACTAGATAAAAATATTATTAAAGAAAATAAAAATTGGCTACTACTATTTTATACCAGAATGTGACCATTCATGGTCTTAAGACTCTTTTCATTTTAATAATATCTTTTAGTATAACATTGTGAATGCCGAATTGATCAAATAAATTAATTAGAACAAATTTTCATCTTTATCGAAAGTTTAAATATTTGTAAAAATATTTCTTTCGGCTGTTTGGGTGGATTGCCTGGACATTGATGAAAATACGCTCTGTAGTAGAGAAAAAGTAACAAGTGCTTGAAAAATTCGTCAATACTGCTCACAAAGGACCTAGGGTCCTGGGTAACTCAGTGGTTAAAGCAGTCGCCTGGATTGTGAAAACTCATAGGTTCAAGTCCCATCTCAGGGCGCCAGGGACAAATTGGATTTTTCAAGCATTTTTCGTTAAGAATAAAAGGCTTTTATTTTTGAATACGTCAAAGTTATAAGGAGCAAAAGGTTTATTGTAAAAATAGCAATCTCTACCATGATTACTTTAGCTTAAAGAAACTATACCAAACACCAATTGAGTAAAAAAGCTGCGATTAGAAAGACTAATAGAAAAAGTCGTCCAAAACATAATATGTAAACACTTTTATGAAAAAACGTAGGTATATGATCAGCTCCACAGACCGCAATTTTTATTGTGGTTTGAGAGGTTGACAGTAAAACAAAAAACAGGTATTTACCACTTAAACACAAACCCTATTTACATATTTAACGATCTATAGAGTCGCTTAAAAACATTGTTCAAATGAAAAATAAACTACATTTACTATATCTTCTTCTACATTTGATAATAATAAGAAATATACGTCATTTTAAAATTAAGACATGTATTCATTATTCGCAGATAAAATGCTGCTGATAACAGTATAATTTGCACATAAACTTATTACCTCGGTCAAGCAATTATCCTTGAAGGTGACTTGGAAGAGACATCGAGATAATAATTTAAAACATATTACACCTAAGTATCATAGTCAGAGAAAATACATTTAATTAATCCTGTTTCTTAATATTTTGCGAACATGTTGGACTACACACGACTGCAAGTCGTGTTTCCACATTAGGTTTTATTTGTCCAGTTGATTTCCAACTTTGCCTTCAAAATACCAAAGTTTAAAGTTTGACAGATTGTATGACCGGACATGCTGTACTTGTAGCTACGGGACCCTATGACAGATTTCACAAAAAGTCTTCAATTAGGGTTGCCAGATTTTTTTCGGCCTGGAAAGGACAAATGCTTAAATAGGCTTACAAAATACGAGATTCAAATTTTTATTCTGGGATAAATGGAAAACCGAAACGAATTTAATGATTTAAAATAATCAATAAAATTGTAATTGTGTTGTATGATCCACACAAATTTACAAATTAATTAAAATTAAGATTGGTTATACATAAACTATTAAAAATATTATTCATACAATATATGTTTTACAAAAACTGTAATTTCATTTGATTATGTGCAGAAGAGCCATCACATTAATATATCAATGGAACATGATCTCATGTGGTAACTGCATCACAAACTGATTGTATTATAAGATATGACTATAATAACATTTGGCATGATAAGTAATTTTAGGGGAAGAACCATTATTTACATTAATGTTAGTGTCAAAAGTTGAATAACCAGTGAATTGTTTATTAATTTTCTTATCTTTGGGTTTTTACTAAATAATAGCAATGCTTTAGAATTCAAATGATTTATGACGGCTCACTTATTATTCAAAATTTTGGTCTATATGATTATTCAACAACATACCTATTTTGTGGTAATAAAGTCTAAATATCTTTTTACAAATTATCTTCTAAGCAAAAAATAGAAAATAAATAGGTATCAAAACAATCTATACATTAAGAGTTACTGTCGCTCTTTTTAATTACTTTCGGGAATATTGCTCTCACGTCTGCGTTTAGTTGTGATGGTTGACGTGGATGCAATGTTAACGAAGTCATTAGTTGTTATTAAGGAAATTAATTTCACAGTCTGCTTGTAACAGAACTGTCTATGATCTACAATAGAAAATATAATGATGGCAATTTGTTGCATAAACATTTAGCTTTAACCCTTAAACTTCCTTTTCCATTCTGTTTATAACTAAAATGACAGAACTAAATTTGTATGTGCCTAAATAGTTTTGCTTCTATTTTTTTTATAATTTAGAATCAACAGTTTCACTTTTGATTTTCTTTTATAAAGTCGCAGTGTGGAAGCTGGCAAGCAAAATCAACTAAAATATTTCTTGATTATATAAGTCGCCTGTTTGAAAGACATTGAGTTCCTTACTTGCTTATTAGCCGTAATAATTATTATACATATCAATTGAGATACGTGTCTATTAGTATTTTATAGTTAGGTGTATTTTTAATACTAAAATATGAATTGGGCCGATCGAGATTTGCCCGGGCATATCACGATATAATCGCCATATCGTTCAATGCTTAACGTCTAACGATTTGCCCGACTATACTCAAGCCAATCGAATTTAAAGAGTGACCAAAGTACTATGTAAGCAGAAATCGTTCAATACGTTGCTCTCGTCGATCTGCCAAACTTTTAACCAGATTAATCGTGATTTTCCGGGCCAAATCAAGAAATGGCGGCATATCGTGATATTCCCGGGCAGATCTCTATTGGCCCAATTCAAAGATCTGCCCACGACATATATAATCTAATAATACTAATAATATTTTTAACACATATTTTAACCTGTACGTATAATAAAGTTTTATAGAGTAATAATAGAGATTTAATAGTCGAATCAATTTCATAGTCTTCGTAATTTTTTTGTTGACAAATACGATATTACTGAATACTGAAAAAACGGAGAAATCATATATTCAATTTCAGTAATAAAAATTTTCAAAATAACGTATTTCCAAACCTACTAATTAATTCTATAGAATATTTCATATCAAAGTAACATATATGGAAGGTTGCCAATCCAAAGTTTCTAAAAGTAACATTTTTTATATTAATTTTACTAACATAAAATTCTACAGTGCTATATTAAAATGACCTCATTCGATTTCCATTTACAGGGACAGCTTGAGCCCCAGTATTAGGAACATCAATAGGCTGGTGCCGATGATGATTCGAATTACGAATTTCGACTATTTCTGGTCAATGCACATACTGTGTTCTGCTTTGAAATTGTATTTTTTAAATATACACGTACACGATCATTATCTAGTCGTAACACCGCGTGTCAGATTGTTAGTAGCAGGAAGTTGGTATATTTATGTACTTTACATTATATTTTCTGTTAACAGTTCTCAGAAACACCAATATAATTAATTCTGGCAAATAGGTGCCGAAATCATTTATCACTTATGTTATCATAATATTAATTTATCTTTAATCAATCTTATGCTGTATTTTTTTGCTTGCGTTGGTTAGCTCCGAAATTACTCGGTCGTTTTTAAAATTATTTTACTTTCGGGAAGCTATATCATACTTAAGTGACATAGCCTATGTCTAACCGGGTAAAGTAGTAGGAAATCAACTAACATATATGATGTGTCATGGACATTATAAATACCCTATCAAAATGTAGAAGTTGTCGGACTTTCGCGTACGTATTTCCAACTTTATACTATAAAATGGATGTAAAGAAGCTTTTTGACCTGTAAAATAATGGAAGCCGACTGGGAGTTTGGAATCTTGACAACCATTATTATAAGCTTCGGTGTTTAAAAAAAATAACGTCGAACACGTCGTTTAATGAAATAAAATCTTTATAATCTTTTGGATTTGGTTTTAATTGATGAAACATCAAACGCAACTAAACATAAAATGTACTTCTGTGATTATTTTAGATTTATGGACGGTCTAATAAGACAAGCGTTAACTTAAGGCTGTTTATAAAAACAAAGAGAAAACGTAACGAAATTAACAGAACAATCAATTAAACAAATGGCATCTTTCTATGTAATTACTCGTTAACTATTATAATTAATGTAAAACTTAATTCCGAGCCACGGCGTCAACATGGATATATGTCGTTTTGCTTTGTAAAAAAGTATGATTACCACCTCCGTTGCCGAATGGTTTGTAAGAGCGCACGCCGGTTTCGCCATTTTTGAGGGCTCAGGCACGATTCCCGGTAGGGTCAACATAGAAATTAATTTTTCTATATTGTTTTGGCTCTGGATGATGTGTTTCCATAATACAAGTGCTTTAGTTACTGAACTTGGGCAATAATAATAATATTAACTATAAGAACACATTATTGAGTAGCTCAGTGTCGTAGTAGATAAGCACCGCAGCCTTCGAACGTTGTTGTTAAGCAACTTTCGTGACCGTCGGTCAGGAGATGGATGACCAAAAAAATATTATCTACGACAGCTACGAGACCAAAGAGGCTAGAAAATCTGTCATCAACATAGGTTATAATTCGACGGTAGTTAGTGTCATATAATTTGTTAGTTTTATCCTTCGAGACGAGAAGCGACGCATCTTCAGTTAAATATGCACCAATTCTAAAACAAATAGCTATAATTAGTCATCTCAATCAACTGTTATTTTAGGTGTCTATTATGAAGATTTAAATGATTCGATATAAATAACCCTTTAATTGTTATCTTCTAATAAACGTTGCCTGGGCACTTCCTTTTGTCGCGCAACCGTCGATTGTTCCATAGTGGTCAGGGCCGCCAGCGCCGGCTATATAACTATGGACGTTTACGTCACTGCATCATAACATCTCAGGTGTTGCAACGGTCAATATGATAGGACAGGTTTCAGTTATAATCCTCGCTACAGCGTTTCAGGTAAGTGTTTGATATTTGACCTTCTAAATCCCAAAAAAATATTTGTTTTTTTTTTGTGAAAAATATTGTGGATACCATTTTTAATATATATTATATTTTAAGTAGATAAAATTGCCATAAAAAATAGACTTATCTTAGATGCCTATGGTCAGTTGTGCGAATGTCCATTGGGGTTTAATACGTCTTTAAGCTCTAATTAATGTCAAATTTATATGGGTAATGTCGCTTTAAACTTATGATAATTTTTAATGGACGTTTGTGCAACTGGCTGATAGAGTATTTATCACAATACAACTGAGTGATTATACTCTAGTAGTGATTTCTAAATCATTTTTTTTTCTGTATTGATAATATTAGATAAAGGTTTATATTTAGAAAAAATATAAATTACTACATAACAGTAACATAGACATAGAAAGCTTTTTAAAAGGCCGTAATAGAAATATATTAACGAAACAATAGAAATTCGAATTTATACAAAAAAATCGAAAAAATTAAACTCCAAACTTTCATCTGTCATTGATTTCTTGAACTGTTACAAATTATTCCTACCTATTATTTATTTAAGGTAATCTCAACTCAAGGACCTCCGCCATTGCTACCCAATATCCCACCACAATGTCAAGGACCACCAGAGGGAGCTGTAAGTATATAATATAAAAAGATACAGCACATCAACACAGAATATACCAAACTAAAAAAAAAAAAAACAATTTATTCTAAATCCAAATGCAAAGAAAGAAAGCGGATGAACGCATTTATAATTGCATGACTGATTAATTCTTCACTTACGTAATAATAAAAAATACGGACATATTAAAAGCATATTTCTTACGTCAGTATTGATGAATGTATGTATGTATTTGGAATCAATGATATGGAAGAGTTTTAATGGTAGGTTCAATGGTTCTGTTTTACTATTCCGTATTTTTCATTTTGTTTTTATATTTCGTAGTAAAATGTAATCAAATCAATCAACAGGATAATGAGCTTCTATAGTTGATAACGACTGCTTATTGTTATCTGTTTTTATGGATTCTAATATACACAAATCCGTGGTTTTACTTAAACAATATGTATGTAAGTTTTTAATGATAATAAAAAAGTCGTACGAAAACAGGTACTAATACATAAATTTCAAAAATAGACTATTTATACCATAAGTTCTAAGTAACACAAAATTTAAATGGAGTAAATTATAACGTTTTCAATTGATTTTTACTTTTATTATTATTTTTCAAAAAATAATTCGGGAGTAATCGAAATTTTTCGTCAAAAAGTCTTTGCCCTATGCAATTTTTAGCCAATTACTAACTTATGATATTATAAAATCTACGTTGTTTTAAAATTCCAACATTCAGAGGTGTGCGTTATTCGAGTAATTTTTTCTCAAAAAGCAACAATACAGTCTGGAAATAGCAAATTGTTGTTATGCTTTTTGGTTTAACAATGACATGTACGTGTTCATTATTATCGCATTTTTAATGGCAATCTCATATCTCGCTCGAGAATATTCTTTTAGTATAAAGTTCTACATTGCTTTTCTATTATAAAAACAATCTCATACTGATAGACGAACTCGAAGCTCTCATAGCATAGACTTAATAATTACCGTGATTTAGACATGAGTGGTCTTTGCCAGTCAATTCATTGAACCTCTATTTGACTCTATTAGAAGTTATCAATAAAAGCTACTTCAAAAGGTAATAAATGATTTATTTCATTGAAGTTATATGTCGTGCTAGCGCTGTGCTCGAGGTCGAGGTTATAAAACTGTGAGGAAGTTACAAAACTTTCACAGATATTGGTCATAAAATTGGCGACCACAAATTTATTATCACGAACTCCTCCGTGCTTCAAAAGGCACATTAATTCTGTTGTTACATGCAAATTATATTCCTTTTGCATCTGCAGTTAACACCCACCAATCCAAACAAAGAGATGCCTTATGCCGCAACAGAGGGAAAGTTTATGATCTGATGATGATTAAATTAAAAAAGCTTTATATAATTTCACATATTACAGGAGAAACCACATGAGTGCTGTAAAATCCCACCTTTCTTCAAAGACGCTGACTTCGAAGAGTGTGGTTTTAAGAAAATGGATGATGAGGTCGAAGGACCACAACGTGAAAGAGGCGGTCCACCTGATGTGAGTAATGCTTATGTTAATCTTATAGAATATTGTTAAATCAGATTAATATTATACGAGCTTACCGCCAGCGCCTGCACCCGCGTTGTTCGAATAATAGAGATTCTTTAAATTGGATAAAAAATTGCCTATGATGTTAAGTTAGACTTAAAATTTCCATGTGTCAAATTCCATCAAAATCCGTTTTGTAGTTTTTGTTTAAAACATAACAAACATTTGGCACTAGCGATAATATTAGGACACAAAATGAAGTTAGATGGCATAAAGTATAAATTATAAAACTAGAATGTAGAATCTACATTCTAGTAATATAATATTTGTGTTCTTATTACTCGTACATTAGATTTTAGACTGATGCATCAAATGACTTCATGAAGTCATTTACTGGTGACCTTTTGCTTGATAATAGATTATATTAGATTAGATTATAGATTTTCTAAATTTTCCGCCTTTACTTATACAATTATAAATTTCCGTTAGTTGCCCAAACATCCATTAAGATTTAATGACGCCTTACCTTTAAGTTCAACATAATGTCAAATTTACATCGGCAATCGTTCAGTTGCACAAACATCCATTAAGGTTTAATGAGGCCCTTAAGCTCTAGTGAATGTCAAACTTGTATGGGTAATGTCGCTTTAAACTAATGACAATTATAATGGACGTTTGTTCATCTGGTCGTTTATGTATTATTGTTTGAATAAATTATTTATTTGATACTTATTTTCGAATTAAAAAACTTTGCGAACGTCTTTGCGGTGGAGGTAAATCGATCAAGTCAACCTCAAGTAATCAAAATCAAAAAATCAAAATCAAAATAATCTTTATTCAAATAGACTTCTTAAAAGTACTTTTGAATCGTCCAACATTTTTTCCCTACCACTCGTTCAGGACGTCTTTTGGCTGATAAGAAGAACGAGCAAGAAACTCACCAGCTCTAATATGAGTAATGACATTTACAAAAACCATGTCATTACCAGATCAATACATTATAAACAGAGATAAAAAAACTATGGTCTTATAATAATAACATAATCATTTAATAATAATGGAAACAAGATAATGAGTTTAGAAGTAATCACCTATCCAGTTGCTGGATCATCTCGAGTCCAAGCGTTCTTATCTGTTACATAATCGGATACCTTATAATAAGCTTTTTTAATAAGTATTTTTTTAATAGTAGATTTAAACTGTATGATATCTAATTGTTGTATTTTGCTTGGGACCTTATTGTAGAAGCGCACACAAAGACCCTTGAAAGAGTTATTAACTTTTTGCAGTCTAGTGACAGGCACCGTTAATTTATTTTTATTTCTTGTATTAAAATTGTGTACATCACTTTTAATAGAAAACAAACTAATATTTTTACGAACGTACATTAAGTTCTCGTATATGTATTGAGAAGCAACAGTCATAATGTCTATTTCCTTAAATTTCTCCCTTAAAGAGTCCCTAATCCTAAAATTATAAATTGATCGAATTGCTCTTTTCTGAAGCACAAAAATTGTTTGTATGTCGGCAGCATTTCCCCACAATAGGATACCGTATGACATAACACTATGAAAGTAACTGAAGTATACTAATCTGGCAGTATCTATGTCAGTTAACCTACGTATCTTCATTACGGCATATGCTGCAGAGCTAAGTCTACTCGACAATCTATCAATATGTGGGCCCCACTGTAGTTTAGAATCTAATGTTATTCCTAAAAATACTGTGGTATCCACAAGGCCCATGTTCTTATCTTTTACATTAACATTTATATCTACTTTTTTAACATTAGGTAGTACAAATTTTAAGCATTTTGTTTTTCCTTCATTAAGGAGAAGATTATTTACATTAAACCAATGTACTACTTTAGCGATAGAATTGTTCACATCGTCATTTAGAGGTAACCCTCTTTTAATTTTAAACAAGAGTGAAGTGTCATCCGCAAACAAAACTATTTCGTGATCATCCCTTACGAAATAAGGCAAGTCATTTATGTAAATCAAAAACAAGAAAGGACCAAGTATTGAGCCCTGCGGAACGCCCATCTTAATTTTCGATCCAGGGGATCTTTTTCCATTGATATCAACCCTCTGTACTCTGTCAGTCAAGTATGAGACAATAAAATCCAATGAGTTATCTCTAAATCCATAAAAATGCAGTTTCCTAATCAATGTTTCATGAAAAACATAATCAAATGCCTTAGATAGGTCACAGAAAACACCTAACGCATCATGTGAATCCTCCCAGGCATTAAAAATTTCTTGTATTAACTCGACACCGGCTTCGGTTGTCGAGCGACCCCTTGTAAAACCAAATTGTTGTCGATTCATAAGCTTATTCTTGTAAAAGTACGTTTGTATTTGATCCAGCATGATTTTTTCAAAAATCTTACTAAACGTAATATCATCATCATCATCATCAGCCCTTTTAAGTCCCCACTGCAAGGGCTCAGGCCTTCCTAATGGATGGTTAAGGAGGATGAGCCATGACTCCCCACACTGGCCCAATGCGATTTAAAGATTTCTGAATTTTTCCTTTATACATATATGTTACAAAACATTGCTTCATGCCGAATTTTAGGTTTTGAAACCATTGCGAGTAGTAACGAGTTTGACAATATGTGGTTTAAATAGAAGTTTAATTTTGTTACAACTAAAAGGTATAGAGACCTGAGTATTTGATATGAATTTCAGTTTAATACTCGTACCTCAACGTGTTCACGAGGAAAGCTATAGTAATTTTAAAATTATTCAAAATATATTTATTATGTGATGTAACTAAAAATTAACAGTGTTTGCAAGTTTTCCTTTATCTATACTAAAAATACATGGCCTCGTACCAAATTTTAAGATTCGGATTTCACGGGAAGTACTCTCTAGGTTTTAATTTCCTTGCGAGTTTCAAAAATTTGCGAAATTTGCGGCATAAACGGCTGTATCTTTTGATTGCGTTGGCTTAGAACTTTGATTTTTTCACAACTCTAAGGGACAGTAGACCTGAATATTTGATATAAATTTCAGCTTGAACCTCGACGCGATTCTGAAAAAAAAGGTCTTGATAGACGGATAGACAAACAACAAATTGATCTTATAAGGGTTCCGTTTTTTCCTTTAATGGCACACTAATGTGCAATCTTAATATTTAAACAATTTTTTGTTAACGTTTTAGTGCTCCAAGCAACTGTGCATGATGAAGAAGTACAATCTGGCAAAAGGCGAGGAGATTGACTATGAAGCTATGAACCAGTTCATGGACAAATGGACTGAGAGCAACCCTGAATTCAAAGACAGCGTTAATGCAGCTAAAGATCGCTGTATAGGCAAGCCCCTTCCAGGGCCACCACATGTTTGTGAAGCGAACAAAATTGTTTTCTGCGTGTCTTCAACAATGATCGAGGTACCTTTAATTAATATCTGTATCAGTGCTTTGATTTTCTAAATCGTTTAAAGTCGCCATCGGTTTCGGAACAAATGACGATTTGAATAATTGAGTTTATTCAATAGCTTTATAAAAATATCGTCATAAAAAACGTCACGATCACACTCGCTATCATATATCAGATAATTTTAGTGTGAAGTTCGTGAATAATTAACCTTAACGCTAAATTCCTTAAATTTTTTAAATTATTGTTGAGTGTGCTTAAGCTTGTTGGTTTCACTATACCATTGAGTTTCTTTGCTGCACTTTTCTGGTGTTCTTGTAGGCTGGTGGCCCAAGATTTTTTTTCTTTATTTAATGGAAAAAATAGTTATTCAATTTTATATCTTACCAAAACTATGTTCTCAATTCCTTTTTTCGTTTTTCAGAATTGTCCAAAATGGGAAGAAAGCGAGGGTTGCCAGAAATGGAAGTCTCATATAACGGAATGCGCGCCCTTTTTCCATAGAAAAGTATGAATAATGTTAAAAAGCAGCATTAGTTTTTAAATAATACAATTAACTATATTTTTTGTAAATATACTGTTATTTATATCACTTCTATGTAATCGACTGCAATATAATTCTTTGCAATAAGAAAGCTCAGATTTTTAATTAATTCTTCAAATCACATGAATGTGATAGTGAATTTCGCCCAAAACCATCAAGCATATCGAAGGACTTGTTTACAAGCACCTCCACTAGATGGTGACTCTAGCAAAAGTTGATTTTTGCAGGAAACGAATGGACCAAAGACAGTAATTTCCGTTCCTTTTAACTAACATATTCAAAAACTGAAATTTGAAAAGTTCGAAACTTAAATACAAATAAGAAAAAGTACAAATAGAATATGAGGTTTATTGAGTTTTGAAAACTAATTTACTTTAAACACGAAAGAAAACCGGAAGGGTTGTCATGGAGAAATCAAGAACGTACCGTAGCGACATCTAGTTTGATTTCGGGAACTAATGTTTTTTTAAATACTTCCTCATTTGATATCACATGAAATCCAATAGATGTTTTAAAAATATAGCAGAGTTTACATTTCTTTATGCAAATATTTGATAAACATGTACGAACATATGATAACATATCCATTAGAGGTTAAATTGTCGATCACAGAACAGCATTTCCGCAATTTGACTATAGGTTAGCATTGGGTCTGAGAAAATTCTTTTTTATGGACAATCATGAAGAAAGTTATTTGGTTGTTAAACATTATTGATCTTGTAAGTATATTTTTTTATGTTTTTGCGATTGTTCCTTACAAATAATATACCTTAAACTAAGCTAAAGTAAGTCAAAAATTTTTATTATGATATAGGTTTATTTGAATGTGTATTTAAAGAAATATATCTGCACTCCTTTGTATATTAATATAATAAAACTTCATTTATTCCTGATGAAAGTTTGCTGACATCAAATTGGTGGTACTCTTCTTTCTCTATAAATACAAAACCAAAACAAAGTTTGAAAATTTTTTTAAGAAGCAAAAACTAAATTATCTATCTTTCATTAATTCAATTCAAATTTCACATATATAGTGACAAAACTCACTCGTTTAGGTCAGGATTAGTTATACTTATTCTTTTATAAAAACAGCCTTGAACTCTAGTTCGCCAGTAACGCTGTCACAGCATAGATGTTCAGTCAAATAAAACCTTTATTCCATTTTAAAGTAGGTACATAGGTAGTTTTACGACATCAGTAGCCGAGTGATTCGCACGCCGATTTCAAGGTGTCGATATCTCTGAGATCTCGGTTTCGGTTCCCGGTAGGTTCAATGAAGAAAATTAACTTTTTGAATATACATAATAACTAATTAATAATATGTAATTTCTATGATAAGGTATTCTCTATATTAAAGTGTTTAGTTATGGTATTCCGTTCAACAACAGTCGCAAACTCGTCGTTGAGGGAAATGCTTTGGCAGCATAAGAGATTCAGTGAAATAAAGTCTTTATTACATTTAGACGTAAATTTTTCTTTGATTGATGCGGATATGCAGAGCTACGCTCAAAGACGGATTCGAGAATGCTTTCTATAACAGATCACCACTATAATTTTTTTTCATCTTATAAGTCTCTCTCTTATCTTTGTGTTTACTCTTTTTTTAATTTATTAACAACTGAAATGTCTGTACTTATAACAGCATGATCAATAGAATATTAATGGTGTACCTAAATGAGTAAACCAGTTAAAAATCTATAGTGATGAAAAATATATTTGCATAAGGAAATGATCATTATCATCACCAGTCTAGTAATATCATTTAAATAAGGACTAAGGAGTCTGAATTTGCCGCTAGAGGCGCTAGTATAGCGTGAGGTCTTCAAAAAGACAAATATAATCATACTTCACCGGTGAACTACGCGCGTTTCTTTTCAAATAAAAGAATTTTGCGCTTATTTTGGTTACCTGAGGTTCATTAAAGCTATTATGAATTAAGGGTCAATCAAGCGCTTTAAAAGCGGTATTAAGAAAAAGAAGTGCAAAATTAAGCAGGATGAAAGAATAGCTAAATAAGAGGTTAGTGTTTATTGGCCATGTTCGATTTTTTTAGTAAACTGTTTCATGTATGTATTGTGATGTATTTTTAAGTTCAATCTCGTAGTAAACAAACTTTGATAGAACCTCTCGTGAATGTCGCGCCATCTAGGGAGCGAAAAAACGCCATATCTCACCACGTCCACTATGGATTGATGAGTGCTAATGACTATGAATATCGCCGTGGCTAATTGCTTAACGTACCTTTCGAAGCACGATGGAGTGCAAGCTGATAAATTTTTGGTAACCGGCTCTAATGAAAGTTGCTTAACCTCAGGATCGCACTGAACCTCTGCCGTCGGGCTCCTCAAATGTACAGTACGATATTATAATTGAATAAAGAAGAATTTGAACAAAATTTGTTTTTAAGATATTAAATAAATCTCTTTATTTTAATATTAAAGGTGGCGAGTATTAAAATGCCAATAAAAATGACGGAAGCACCTTTAGTTCCGAATAAATGCCACATGACCAATACGATGGTACGTATTTGAAACATATATGATCAGTTGCACAAACGTCCATAAAGGTTTAATAACGCCTTTAATCTCTAAATCTAATGAATAACAAAATTGTTTTAGTAATGTCGCTTTAAACTTTGTGCAACTGGCTAATAATCAGGTGTATTAAAACTCTATTTAAATTCTAAATATCAGCAATGATGCTATGTTAAAACTATTATTCCGTAATAGGAATATGTCTCGTTTGCTATGGTGTGCAATTAAAGTTAAGGTTTATGTCAAAGACAATATCTATCACGCTATCTTTAACATTAAATAACTGTGATGTGTGGTGACATGCGTTGCATCATCATTTCTTGGCATAGTATAACATATTCTTAATGAAAAATACTTAAAAAACCACTTGGTCCCTGGCACCCTGAGATGGGATTTGAACCCATGATATTTCGCAATCCGGGTGACTGCTCTAACCCATCTCAGGGTTCCAGGGACCAAGTGGTTTTTTGAGTATTATTATTAATATTTTTTTAAGAATAGTCCTTTGAATATTTCTTTATTTTTTCCACCACATTTTCGGGACTTTAAATTTATTCAAAACTGTCTGTACAGGTTTTTGAAGTACTCCTAAATATAAATCCAAATTAAGTAAAATCAATGAAGGTAATCACACACGGTCAAAGATTTTTTTTTTATTCTATTAAGTAACTGGACGACTATAGCACAGAGGCCGAATAAAAAGAATTCTGTACAGTGACCCGGCACTACGTACGCAACCATGTTGCTATTGCGCTCGCATAGATGCATCTACCCAATTTTATCATAGTAAAGTGAAACATAGATGTTTTCGATAAAGTAGGCACTATATGAAATTATTTCTGTTCGGAGACCGTGATTCTAATGTTATCGTAGAATATTAATATATTTTACCAAGCTATTGCTTGGCGTATAATTTCAGTTTAAAGAATGCTGTATATTTCCACCTTTCTTCACACGTGACATCGCTCGAGAGTGCGGCGCTAAGTTAACAATCAGTGAGCTTCTAGACGATGCTGATGTTGTGACGATAAGAAGGCACATGTTTGACAAGGAAAGACAATTTTTTAAGTTTCCCTAATTAAAATAAGTTCATTTTTATTATTAAAAGTAGAATATATATATCCTGACATGGATCTGGCATGGATCATGGCTCGCATCCTGGTTTCAAGGTCACGTCAATGTAGAAAATTACCTTTTCGATGTTATCTTGAATCTGGGTTCTTGTGATACCAATGAGCTAGTGGGTATTAACGACTGCTGATGCAGCCGGGGCCAACGGTTCAACGTGTATCTCGATACACAGAGGAATTCTATGAGGAATTTTATCATCCATGCTATGATCAGCTCTTGTGGAAGTTGCTTAATTTAAGGCAGATCGAACGTGCTAATCAATGCGCCATTGAGCTCCTCAATGTCATCTCAAACATTTTATTAGAAGCTTTTATTTAGTTTCACCTTTTGTCATTTTACCCACTTCCCAGTGTCTGTTTGAGCTGAAATTTAAAACATACTTTTAATTCTGATAACAACACAATTGTATATAACCTCTCGTCTGTATCGGCCGCCATCATGTTGTGTACTGCCCATATTTATCAGCTGTTGCTTACAAAGTATTATTATTAATTCAAAATGTTCGCCGTTACAAAAATGGTGACCTATATATTATTGAATAACTCACCCAATATGGATATCAAATTAAAAAAACGGTTTAACTAATAGATAACTATACAGCTTGTTTAAAAAAGCTTTGAATTTTTTTACTTGTGTATTATCTCTAAATTTAAACTTAAAATTAAGTAATGGGATGGGTGATATTTTTTTTTATTTGGAATAGAGAGCAACAATCCATGACATCCAGCGGGATTTTCTTTTCCCTTCTGCTATGTGTACCATTGGTTAGATTACCAAGATTAAGCAACGTTCACAAAGGTCAATAATAGGATAATATAAATAATTCAATTTTCATAATACGATTGCAGTGCGAATTTTGGAGTTGTGTATTGAAAAAATATAATATGCTCACACCCGATGATCTCGTGGACGACGAAAGCTATTTTTCACATCTCGACAGATGGGTCAATTTGAATCCTCGTTTCGCTGATGTTATAAAGAGAGCAAAAACACATTGCAAACTCTACTTTAAAATGTACATACCACTGAAACAATGTGAATTCTACCAATTCCAGTTATGTATAAGGAACTTTGTCAACTTGGTAAGTAGGTATTGAACACTATATTTAAATTAAAGGAGAACCCACTCTCCATTACTCTATATGACTCCGCAAGATAGATATCTATCTATCTTTATTGCTCACAGATAGTTATTAATATTTGTTTAACGATTGTGGTTCTAATACCAGGATGGGCAAAGGCGGTTTTACTGTTAAAAGCGATCTCTACTAGACAACCTTTGATTATTTAATTGAGAGAAAGACCAGAGGTAGTATGCCAATAGTTAAGAAGAAAACAAAAATAATTTGTAATTTTAATACGGCCACAGATTTTGCATGTCGAATAGAAGATGACAGATTAATACAGAGCCCAGCAGCTTTAATGCTAAATAATAATATCCTTTTCTGGCGCAATTTAATCTAAAGTTTAGTTAAAGTTAATCATTTTTTGTATCCTACTATTTATCATAATGTAAATATTTTTTCAGTATTATTTGTTTTTTGTTTATTTGTATGAAACACTAAACTGTGTTTTTTACATAATCTCAACTATATTTTTCTTTTCCATTACGGCTATAATTAACATGGGCGAAGTCATGTGAAACAACTACTTTTCCATATTTTATTTTACATTTGTAATCACTTATTTTCAGGATTGTCCAGTAGTAGTACCAACTCCTGAATGTATAGACTTAAAGAAATTTCATGAGGAATGCAGGGAATACTATTTATAAATGAATACTAAATCAATATCATAAAACATCGAGTTTATTCTAATAGAAACTATTTTAAAGATGAAACTATTATTATTTCATCAAATACACTACTGTAATTGCATTAAAATACAAACTGTGCAGGCATTAATTAAACTAATACCGTCGTCATTATTTTGTACACAGATATGCTGTTGACGGCAACTTTGATATCCCTCACTCATTTATTAATTAATACTGTCATAAAAATGCTCAACCATGAAGCACTAATATATCACACACACCAATTGTCCCCTTATCACTTTCCTTATAGGATTAAATTACACTAGATTAACAGTCTTGTCTGATAACTTCAAGGCAGGAGTCTAGGATTGTATCGCCCGACATACAAAATCATACCGGAAGGATTATGTCTAACGAAATATAAGAATGGCCTGTCGAATTTTAATCTAGCTGGTTGAGCATTCCTTGATGGAAGCCTCGCTTGCCTTGGGCGAAGATGTAATGGCAAATGCATAGCTTCACCCACGTCGTGTGGGTCATGGAAGGCTCGTTGGTAATCTCTAGGTTCGTCCCAAGCAGGTGCCCATCGCGAAGATCGTCGTCTAACAATATTTCCTACGGATTCTGGATATTCTTCTACATGGTGCTGTTCGCCGATGACATCCTCTCCGCAAGTAACAAATGTTGTAGACTGAATCATGTCAGATAAATAAAGATCTTTAGACGGGCCATTTAACCCTCCTAAATCAGCATGATCTGCATCAAATAGGTCTTTCAAGCCCATATATCTTAAAGTGGAAGAAATATTGAAAATTGACTTATGAGAAAACCTTGGTATCTGAAGTTCTAGACCAACTCTAGGGAGTAATGTTCGTAAAAGGCGATTCCAAGATGGTGTTGATGGATTTGCATCAAGTAAACGTTGTTCTAGGGTCTCTAAATCTTCAGCATGTACAATGTTTCCTTGTTGTCCTGGCATAACGAACAAGGTACTGATAATAGAGTTTGTGTTGCCCAAGGCAGCAGCAGTGGCATCTAATACTGGATCATAACCTGCCAAGAAACCACCTCTGTAGACAACAGCAGGAACAGGCACAAGACGTCTTTGACGAACCGTAGGTGAAACTACGAAGTACATTTCTCCATCTCTACCTTCTACTGATGATCCGGTACAATCGGTCTGAAATTATTAAAAGAATGATATTAATAAAATGTAATCTAGTTGTTTGTTAATAATAGATTTTTTTAATTTATTTTATTTTATAATATGAATATAATTACATTACGTTTAAATGGTCCCACAAAACTATTTTATAGTTTGACTGCGTGTAAGATTTGTATATACTGAATTACATATTGTATTGCAATATTGTTTATATATATTTAAACAGACAAATTAACATAAGTTTTTTTTAAGGATTCATGACATTTAAAGTACTAGATAAACACTGTTAATGAAATAATAATAATAATTTTGTGTGTATATTTACCTGGAAAATATTCGCAGAAAAAGCAGCTAATGGTGGCTGCATAGTTATCGTATTAGTTTTCATGTATTCTGAGATTTTACCCCAAGTGTATCTTTTTACTAACAAGTTAGTTCTCCTTCTAATGATGTCGCTAATTAACTTGAAATTTATCTCTTCAACATGTCCATTATAAAATTGTTGTGCCCTTTCTTTGTAAAAAGTTAAAATTTTTCCTTTACTTCTATCACTATAAAGTTCTCTTATAAAAGCTGAAACCATTACACCTGACTGGGGTGTAGTTTCTATTGAATCTGATATATTTTTCAATGTAAAATGTGGGTTAAATGTAACCATATCATCTAGTTTCAAAATATCATTCATTTCACCGGAAGTAGCACCTCTCGCACCCATAAACATCATGGCAAGCATTGAAGTGATCGAGTAGGGTGATAACACAAAACTTCTACGTTTATCAATATTCTCAATTATTGTATTCCAATACCTAAATGCAAGTTCATTACATAATTCTGAGAATTTGGCAATATCTTCTTCCAGATCTTTTGTGGTAACTTCTAAACCTTGGTTTTCTTTTGAAAAATCTAATACAATATCTTTATTTGAATTATTATTTAAAGGATTTTTAACATTATTTTTCAATTTATCTTTAAGTACATTAACTTTTGGAGGTGATACCGTAGATATCAATTTCCAGGAATTATTGCGTTCGTTAACTAATTCCTTGTCATCAATATTAACTTTCTGAATTTTCTTTTTAAAATCTTCAATTTTAGGTAAGCTATCCGTTATTTTAATAGTGGTGTTATCATTAGTATTAATAATTGAAGACTCGTTCTTATCATGTTTAGTTTTATTAGAAAACAAGGGCTCTAGAGAAATATTACTTAAAGTAGCGGAATCGTTATTTAGTAATGGAGAAGTTGTTGTATTTGACATCGTAATCTTACTTGTGTTTTTGAAGAGAGATTCCGTTTTATTGTCCTCGTTAATCAGTGTCATGTTGTTCAATGAAATAGTTTTCTCTGGTATCATAAAAATTGACTCATTTTTGTCTTTTATTTCTGATATTTTTACATAAGTTTGATCTTCCTTAATTTGATTTTTTTCTGGAAGATTTGTTTTACTATTTACAATTTCTGATGTTTCTGTAGTGGAGTACATCACTAAAGATGTTGTCTTTTCAAGACTTGGAATATCATTTTCTGATTTTTCACTTTCAACATTTGTTTGTAAAATGGCGGAAGTTGTTGTAATAGTTTCTGAAAAGTTCACACTTGTAGTGCTTTCTGGGTTCTTTTCTGTTGTAGTTACTTTATTTACAGAGTTCACATTATTACCCGAGTCTTGAACTGTTTGAGGTGCTTCATTTACTACTTGAGATAAAAGATCTCCCATTGACTCTGATAAAATTTTATCCATTGTAGTACTTTCAAATGATGTCATTATATTGCTCTCCGTTGTACCAGCTTGTATTTCACTATTATTGTGGATTTTATTTTCAATAGTAACATTATTGATGTTTCTATCATGAGGGTCTATAGTTGATATTTTAACAAAATTGTCAGTGTTGTTATCTGAAATATTTATATTTTTGGTAACATTATCAGGCATTATTTCCATTTCAAAATTTTCTTTACTTTCTAAATCTATCTGATTTAATTTTGTTGTATCCAATAAATTGCTAACAGTGGGTAAAGGCATATAACTTCCTCCAAGATCAGAAGCAATTTGACTTATACTTTGAGCAACGTCGAATAAAGGTATGTCTGGTTCATTATTTATATTACCGAGATTTTCTTCAACGGGCTTATTTCCTGTAAAATCACTACTTTGTATATTTCCAACTGTTATAAATTCAGTTGAGGACACTGTGGTTGATGGTGATACTGACTGAGTAGTTACAGTGGTTGTATTCGATTTATCGAGATCTTGACTGTATGCTGTAGATGAAATATAATCAAATTCTTTTGTTGTTGGTTTATATGTAGTTATACCAAGACTTTGATGCGATGACGTGTTAATACTTTCTGTTGTGCTACTAACTATTATTGTTGTCCCATTTATGGATGTCTCGATTGGTTTGCTAGTTTGTAGCTTTGGTGTTGTTTTCTCTGTTGTGGCAGTTACAGTAGATATAGGAATTAGTGTACTTATTTTTTCATACTGCACTGTATTTTTTTCGACATCGGTGTTGTTATTTAATACTTCAATTATATTTTTATTCAATTCAAATATTTTTGGTGTTGTTGTAGATACAATATGTTGTTTCTTCGTAGTAAGAGGTTTAGATGTTGTTAGTTTCGAAATATACTTTTCAACTGTTAATGTAGATGTAGATTTTGGCACTGATGTTGTAATAAAACTGGTTGATTGGGGTGATGTTGTTTTAGGTTTACTTGTTGTCGCACGTATTTTATTAGTGACGATTGAAGGTAATTTTGTGGTTGTAGAAACATCTTGAGTTTCACTAGTTATAATTGAAGAAACCGTTATAGGCGTTGTAACATCTTTTAAAGTAAGTGTTGGTAATTTTGTAATTGGTCTAGCAGTCGTGACTTTTGCAGTAGATGACTTTATAGTTGTGGTAGTTATTCTAGTAGGTTTTGTCGTGGTTATTGTCGTCGTTTTAATTGTAGTAGTAGACGTTGGGCGAGAAACAGTAGTTGAGGTTGTGGGTGAAGGTGTAGTGGTTATAGGATCATTTTTTTTCGTAGTTGTAATCATTGTTGATGTTATTGTTAATGGAGTAGTTTTAATTTCTTCGGTAAGTGGTACAACTGAAGTTAAAACAGGATTAACTGAATCATCTGTTTTAGTAGTTGTCGTATTGCTGGAAATATCGTGCACTCCTTCTTTACTCATAGACTCTACATCTAAACTGGAGTCGTTAAATTCTAATGTATCGGTCTCAGGAGGAGTAATGATGTTGGGTATTTTATCTGGCACAATATCGAGACCTGTGTTTCCAAATATAGATGGCAGAATCAAACTCCAAGAGTCAGAAACATCAGGAGTGTCTAATGTAGGTTGAGCTACAGGATTATTTTTATGTGCTTCCATCTGAGCTTTTAAGACATTTTGAACGTTTGTGACTACACTGTGTACTTTATTATGAGATGGCTGGCTAAAGTTGAAAGCCATAGTTGGTTGATTATCATTAGCAAAAGTGACCAAACCCTCTGCTTCTTCTCCTGCAGCCACTATTGCCTGAATCTCCTCAAGGGTCATCAGTCTCTTCACTAATTCACCAGACTCATCGAAAGTGTAGAATTCATATCGATCTGGAGTCAATAGATTCACTGGACTTCCGACCGTGGCTGGAACATTTGATGGTGGTGGTAATGTATTTCCAACAGCGTCCACGACAATTGGTTGCTTCTTGGCCCTGAAAAATATATTTTTTACAAATTTAAAAAAAAGTCAAAATTTGTGATATTACTATTGGTGAAACAGCTTTTTGAATAAATTAATTTTGACTATTACAATAAAATATAGTAAGAATTGAAATATAATAAGACAAACATGTAGTGAAGTATCAAAATGATAAAAAACGTAATGTTTCTTAGAATAATACGCAATATCTTTAGTGAAAATGCTTAAAATTCACTAGCCCCAGGTATTCTATGTTTAAATAGGATAACATATGTAGGTAATGTTGTAAGTACACAACATTCCATAAATAATATATTATAACACACGGCTGGACTTATCGCATGCTTACGTAATGCAAATTTACAAATTAATAACTTTACAATCAATATCAAATTGTGAAAAACAAAACGACAGAACGTAAGGCTGACACCTAAGCACTGTTCGGGTAGAAATGAGTTGCATTAGCTCTTTGATTAAAAAAAAAACGGAAAAAAATTAAATCTTAAAATATTACACACCTTCCTTCATCCTCACTTGCTAAAGCGCAGGTGACCAGAAGGCACCACAGAAGCCGCATTCTCGTCATTACCCCAGCGACTGCCTGAAACTGCAGATAAGAAGAAATTAGGAACAATTTTTTTTTAATTCATTATTTAGGCAACAAGGAGCCATTGCGATAGAAAGTTGTGTTTATATTTTTAAATTATTTGTTTCAAAGCATCATGATCACTCGAGGAGCTCAATAACGCAGTGGTTTGCGATGTCAGTTTGCGATATGGAAATTGAGCAACTTTTCGCCATGGCCTATATAGGATGGGTGACCGATTTTATTATCTAAATCGTCTTCGTGCTTCGGATCACGTTAGGTCGTTGGTTCTGTATAAATCTGAAGTCGTTAACGATCACAATGTAACAAACTCTAAATTTACTGCAGTCTAATTAAGTAATACTCGTAAGATCCTCTAATAATTATATTAATTATACATCCGAATGCAAAAATTAAGCAAAGATATGTTAATACATTCAAGAGCAAAAAAAATGAAGTAAATAAACCAGTATTACTGGCGGAGTCACGGTCATTGTCGCGCAAAGTGGAACTAGTTTTGTACACGCCAACCACCTCAGTTAAGACGACGTCATTTTTTTGTTCCATCACCAAAGCATCTTTTGTTACCGCTCGTTCTAAATTTTCCCTATCAATGCTTCAATGAACATTGTTTGTTACAATGTTCCCAGTTTATTTGCTAGCAATTTCTTTGACCTCGCCGAGAGAGTTAAGTTCCGTTGTGTTTTGACAAGATGTTTGCCCACTAATTATGTAGGACACCTGCCTTCTCGAGTATTTATGAGGTCACTCAACTTTGTCGGTGATATATGAGTTATATAAGGCTCTATAAAGCATAATATAACAGCCTCATTATTAGCCTTGTCATTCAGTGAATAAACTATTATATTACTGATATCATTCATATGACACAGAACTTCATCACAGGAACATTAATCCTTAAATGCATATCGTTGCCATAGGAACCATAAACTAATATACGATATTATAAAATAAGATATATATTAAAAATATTTATAAAAGTCTAAATTGAATTTTCGTTTTTAATTATTATAATAACGTTTTATACCCAACAACTATAGAATTTATTTTCAAGCCTGATATATCTTTTTCTAGAGTAATTCATGATAGTGATTTTCATGTATAATTCATCAAAGTTTTATTTAAATGGCATATATATGACGAGAAATTGTTTAAGGCGCCAGAAAAATATCATATTTATTAAACATCAAAATCAAAATATTCTTTAGTTAAATAAACTTATCACAGTACTTTCGAATCGTTCAATATTTTTACTACTACTCATTCAGTAGGTACGTTAATTGGCTGATAAAAAGAATTTGTGCAAGAAAACCACTAACTCTAACAGAACTAATTTATAAAAATCATATCATTACCAAATCAATATCAAAATCAAGTGCAGAAGAAAAAAAAACGACGAAGCGTTTAGAGAAAAAGTAGCTTTTGTTTTCTTTAGTTCGTCTTGGCGGTACACTACCGTGACCCTAGATAACAAAAAATATTCAAGTAAATCAATGAGCGTATTTTAATACACTTATTAGAGTCATCACATGCTCTTCCTAGTTATAGTACTACTTCTAGATTACAAAAATTAATTTATATGCGTAACTGCTATGCCCAAAGATTTACTATACCTATAGCTATAAATCAAACTTGACAACGATCACAGCGCTGATAGAGGGTTTGTTGAAATAAAAATTTCACTAATTTTGAACAAGGTTTTATAAGATTGAGCCTCTTTGCTGTGACAGTGCTGTGTTCAAGGCTGATTTTATTACAGAAACTGCTGAAACTAGTAGACAATTTAAGTTTAATAACACTAATTTTTTATCATCTATTAAACATAGTAATAGATCACGTGATCCAACAAAAAACAAATGCAGGTTTAATATCAAATCGTGCAAACAAATCACGTAGACACTTGAGATAATTGTACGTGCAACCGTCTGTAGACCGACATTTACATAACTCGAGTTAATGTTGTTACAACGGTAAATCCTAAAATTAGGGAGCACACAAAAAGTTTTAGAATATTCTCCTTTATAAATCAAGAGATTTATAAACATAAAATGCTTAGTTACCAACTAAACATCTAAGTATTTGCTTAAGAAGTTTGGTTTACTAAAACATTTTATTTTGTCGAAATTCAACCCAAGAGTCTGATATGATGATATTTAGATCAAACATCGTAGAATTCTATGTAATAGATAATGTATTTCATTCAACAAGCTTTTATATATTTTCAAAGTTCCAAAAAAAATTATAGGAAATACTATTTTCGACATGAGAATAAGATGTTAGGGTAAGCTTCATAATCATTTAAGTTCAATATGGTTGTATGGTTACAAACATATAATTCGCTTTAATTAATCTGACAAATTGTTATATAAATAAAATGTCTTATGATTATCAAATCAAACATATGATATTTTTTTACTAAGTAATAAAGGTATCTTTATTACTTTTGCCAACTTATAAAGAATTTTATATAAATATCATCTGAGTGTATTTCAGATAAACGATATAGGTAGCAATTTATGTGAAAGCAAGCATATGCTAATGCATCTCCAATGTCAGTATAATTACGCACATAATAATATAATCTTGGAGATGATTCATAACATCCGCCATTTAGTCTCTTGTACATCTTAACCGGATTCGACGTTATAATTTCATATCAATATCGCTTTAGGAAATACATATATAATTTCAATTCAATTCGGTTATCTAATAACGCCCATTGTTTTCAACCGCTTCTTTCAAGTACTAAAATACTAACTAGCATATACTAATTTTAAACAGTCCCACACTGACAGCTGACAGATCTTTAACCCTTAACTGACATCGTGGGGTAAATTATCACCCCAGTCGCATAAAAACAAGTATATTTTTTTTCCCATTGCAGGTAGATTTTTTTCCGTCTAAGTATTCTTAGTGCAGTGCATGCGCTAGAGGGTAGTAGACGCGTCGCGCGTGATTAATCATCCGTTTGAGCTGTACAGACTTACAAAGTACAGAGGGGTAAATTTACACCCCACTATGTTAGATACGTATGTTGTTTTTTTAATATAGTCAAATCCTATTTTATTGTTTTTTTCGGAATAAAAGCAATATGAGTAACTTTCTTACCGACAAACAAGTTGAAAACATCCTAGAAAACGAATGCCGTGATGAAGAACTGGATCTACCAGATTCCATGTTCAATTTTGAGAGTGATTATGAAGACGCGGCATCAGAACACAGTAATCATGAAACTGACTCTGAAATGGAGCTGGATAATGAAGATTCCCGTGATGGGAGTTCAGATGATGACTTACCACTTTCACGAATTGCTTATTATACCGGAAAGAATGAGTTCAAATGGTCAAAATCTCCTCCACCTGTGTCCAGAACTCAAGCTCATAATATTATAAGTCAGCGGCCAGGAATCAAAGGACCAGCTGTTGCAAAAATTATTCTAGTATAAACCAAATCAAAGATATTTGAATAAGCGAAGCTAATTTGTTCCTACTATTAATATTAAGTATTTTGTTTAAGACTGATTCAGAAGCAAATGTGAAAAGACCAGAAATGTCATGTCTTTTCCAAATTTATACAAAAAAAAATATTTTCTTAAATAAATGTTGTTTTTTCTTTATTTACAGATTTGTAATATGCTGTCTTAATATATAAAATCATAATCTTAAGTTATTTCTAACAATTACACAGTTTTTCTTTAATTTTTAATTGGGGTAGAATTTTACCCCGCGATGTCAGTTGAGTAACAAAAAAGCACTATGTTAGTTGGGGGTTAAGGAAGGTATAATGAAATTTGAAGATATATCAGACGGTTTTTTAGTGTTATAGCGGTCAAAAACAGTTTTTTTTTTTCGTTAATAGGCAACAGTACCTTATATACTTTTAAAATAATATTACAATGAAGCATAATTGAACAGGTTTGCTGCTTGTAGGCAGCTTATTTATTTATTGCCCTTTTATTTTGAAATATAGGATTTGTAGTATGAATTTATATTACTTTGTGCGATTTTAGTAATTACTCGTTAGGCGTAGCGTAGGCGCCTTATCCTTTTACTCTTAGATTAATATAATCTTAGCATTTGCTATATTTGTACAGTATACCATCTCACCTCACAGTACCTTATTATAAAAATATGGCGTAGCTAATTAATATGTAGCAATTGTTATATTTGCCAAATTTTTCATTCACAATTATATACTGGAAAATATTCTTAATAAAAAATGCTTCATAAATCCGCTTGGTCCCCGGCACTCTGAGATGGGATCAGAGGTCAGAGGGACGTACCAGAGAGAAAACCAAGGAAAAAGTGGAGTTTTAAGCATTTTCATTTAAGAATAATATGTAACAAATTTATTATAACAAACAATATGACAATACTAAAAAACTATTAATTTTCATTGAGGAACTCTGGAGATAAGAGTATATCTTATTTTTTGCTAATAACAGAGATTACAATTAGCACGCAAATAAAAATAAAATTTGATTCACTGACTGATTTAAACATGCAATGTTAACCAACATATTACCAACACATTGTAAACGTACGAGTTAAGCTAATCATGTCTAGCTTTTGTATTTGCATTTTGATTTATTGATATTTCATAATAATATTCGAAAGCGCATATATTAAACAATAACCTAAAACAATATAAGTTCCCAAATTTCGGAGCTTAAGCACTTGTATTATGGAAATTTGAAACAGCGATGTTTTGGTAACATTCAGATCCGAGGCAATAAAGAAAACAAATGTCACACCCTGAAATCAGCATGCGAGTTATTCAGCTACAGAGGTTGCCTTCTATATTGTATTCTTGAAATCATAATCAGTGTCCGTGTTTGAACTCCGTAAGCGTAGTGTAACATTTGAAACAATAGCCAGTTTAGAGGCGCCACCTAAATCGGCAAAATCTTCTCAAACGGGAAAAAAAACAGTGAGGTATACCGCAAGATCACGCTCTGGTGGTCGTTAACAATCGCTCCGTTAGTCGATGCGACTTAGGGA